TTCCTGTCTTCGAGGTTTTGGAAGGCGCCCAAGAGGTGCTTTACCAATTAGCCCTTTTTTTAAATTTGCGTGCAAACTGCCAATAAATAAATAAAATTAAATATTCGCCGTACAACCGGTGACTGCAAATTAGCACGCCTCGGAAAGTAACTACTAATTTATACAGAAGAATAAAATGCATTAATCATCTCAGGAAAGCAGAGGCCTCCGCGTTCTGTGGGCTTTTGAAACTGGGCCGCCATTTATTTCTGCTCTCCATTGGTGTGTAAACTGCTCATATACATTTCGGTCGGACTATTGTGCCCATCATAAACCGATGTTTACCCTTTATTTGTTTACTCGAAATAAAACAAGGAGGTCAGTAACGCAGGATGCCTGTACCACTTTGAAAGAAGTCTAGTTTGGTCTAAATGGTACAACTCATTCTGGGATATTGGCAATTACATTGTTCGATCATTATACATCATTGGTTATATGATTTGTATGCCTAATTTTATTCACAGTGAATACAGGACATATTGCTGAAAATTTTGGAATTATAAATATTTCTTAAAAGTGTATCTCCATCTCTCTCACCTCACGTGAACCGGTGAGATCTTCCAAGTCACCCTCGGCAATAACCAGCTCGCCTTCTAGTCTTCGGCGCTCGGCCGTTAGACTGTTCACCTGCGACGTCAACTCCGAGATGCGATTGAGCGCGTCGCTGGTTTCGGACTCAGCCTTCCTGCGACTGCGATCTGAAGCCTCGGTCTGTAGTCGCAGGGTTTCCACCTCTTCCGACAACGCCTGCCGTCGATTCTCACTCATCTAATAAAAAGACAGGATGGAGTGACAAAAGTTAAGCATCCAATCAGTAGTAAGCAAGGGGTTCAGAGATCAAGGGGTCACAGATTCTAGTCATATCAAGGGGTCAGAGAGAGGGGAAGAGGGGCCAACGATTAGTTCATGTCGCTGCATCCCCGCGGTAATGCGACGTGGTAAGAGGTGTGAGGACGCATGTCGAGTTGGTGTGAAGCCTGGTGTCTGCATATGGTAAATAGTCGAAAACGTAGGTCCGCAAAACTTGTCTTCGTGCATGTTCACATGGGTGTCATTGCTGAATTTAATAATGAGGAATTAGAAAAGTAGGTGTTTGTCATCAATGAGAGTGTCTTTCGTCGTCGAGCGCACGTTCTCCATCCCTCTTTTGACCTTTTCGTCCATTTAGGTCACTCTGACAGTCCCAACACCGTTGTGGACTGGCTAGTACATTGGTTTGCCCCCCCTCCCCCAGCTTGTCTGGTGACGGTGAGGAAACAGGGGGCGTGTTTCACACTCCTTCAAGCTACCACGTCAGTCTCGAGGTAGACTGTAGGGTGCTGAATCACTAGCGTGTCTGCACACAACACCAGATAGGATAAGTTTGCTGTTGTTTGGTCTTGTCATAGGCTCGTGAATGTTTTAGACCAAAGGAGTCACCAGCAGATTATGTTTTAATAAAACGAGTACTTAAACCCAAGACTAAAGAAGATGAATTGTTGGGTTAAAGAGAGGGACTGGATGGTGGATTGTAGTCATGCAAGCAACTCCTTTGTCGTAGGTATGACAACCTCGTGCGTTTTTTCGTCGTTGGACAAATGGATAACACGACTGAAGCCCATAATTTGCCTTTAAAACAGCCTTATGGTCATATCTGTGCAACGGCAGATAGCGAAGACACTCAAGTGGGTCGGCAGGACTAGTCCAGTGACCAAGACCTTTTAAGTTCATGGGGTAGGTCCTTAGTGAATATGTAGAACAAACAAATACTTTTCAGAATCCGAAAAATGCAATGCATTTTTGAACTGCTACCTAAAATACGTCGCCAGACGAGATAACTGGAAGTAATTGGAGCCGTGTGTAAACGTGTGGAGGGCAGGAACAATTCAAATGACGGAACATGGAGGAAGGTGGCCCACGCGTTGGGGTTTCCGGAACACGAAGCCTACAACTGTCGCTTCAATGGCAAATGCGATGAGACATGATACATGGATGTGCCCTGGACTGTGGTGGTGGCTGTGGTAGTGAAAAGTAGGTCTGTAATAGGAGGGTGGGACAGTTCATGCTTGCTCAGTGCTTTGGAGAGCGGAGTGACCGATATGATGCGCTCGTAGACTCTAATAAAGCTCATGGATGTAGACATGACTGCACTGTTGGCAACGGTTGGAATAGCATGGACGACAGTATTGTCAAACTGACACCACTTAAAACCAATTCACGCGCAATTCAGTGGACTTGCTGTCAGCCTGCCGTGAAGCAGACGGTGGACAACGTCAAACTCAACGGTTAACTACCATCGTAGTCAAGGGTGTATCAAGCTACGAAGAAATATTGCGGCAATTTGGTAGGGCTGTACCAACGAACTCCCTCTAGGGGAGCGAAAACGCCTCCAAGTGAATGCCTAAATACAATGCATCAATTTGTTGCGCCCTAACGACTGCGTTGGTCAGTCAGTCAGTCCCCTTGGGACGAAGTAAGCATCATTGTGAATTGTACGCCGTCAATTTAGCTGATGAAAAAGACAATGAGAAAAAAGGTGCCTAAGCCGTAGAGCAAAAATAGGCTTAAAAGCGCAAAAAGTTCTGTTTAAATGAGCGATGTTGTAGAATTTTCAATCGAATTCTTCCTGAACCATTTGAAAAGAGTAACTACGGCTAGTGAAGCACAAGCTCAAAACTGCCACCTGATCATCATGAAAAAGCCGCCGTTTCCTCTACAGAAGTTCGAAGTCCCAAATAATTGAGTACTGATTACAGTATGGTCATTTTCTGGCGCCCGGGAAATTTTATTTCTTTTAGACTTTATGTTGCCAGTACCGCATACTAATTTAGCAGTGACAGATTAGGAAACTTCAAATTAAAGTCGGTTTTCAACTAGCTGTGTACCATAGCATTTAAAGAGAAACGAACTAACTGGTACCGTCAGAACAATGACAGCAGAGTTATGACAGAGCGGGAAAAAGTTAATCTGAGAAACCAATTTCACTTTGTTCTGGGAGAGCCAAACGCAGGTTATGAAAATCTGGGGCTCCACCATGGAGTCACGGGCTTATGCCGTTCTAGGTGAAGGAAACAAGTAGATCAAACGTAATTTCTATACGAATACCAGTTCTGGCTGTTGGAGGGAATAGAGATGGTCCGTTTTGCCAAGAGAACCCTGATCTAATGACCTTGCAGGTTTTCATGTGGATGCCAAACGGGGCGCCCATATTCGCGTTTTTAATTAATCACGTATTGATAAATGTCATCCCTGTGAAACTTGAAGGCATCATAGTTTTCAAAAGCACAGGTTATACTAGACAATGTGGTGAAGGAATGCAAAATATGCTGATTGGACAGAAACCTGTAGCGCAGAGTTAGCCTCTTGTAGGGAGTGATTGATTTCGTCTAGCTCATTCAAAAGGTGGACGCACTGGTCCTCGGAGTCGTGAGCAACTTTCAGGGCATCGTCTCGCTCGTCCTTGAGGCCGTTAATTTCCTTCTCGAATTCCCCCATTGTAGATTCCAACTTCTTCTTCCAGCGAGCCCCCTCAGCGCGGTGTTTTGCCTCCAGTTCATCAAACGCAGTATTCAGGTTCTCAATAGTCTTCTGACTGTTGTGTCTGAAGCGTGAAAGAACCATTCGATTAGCAATAGTTTTGTAGGGTGTCGTTTATCCAGTGTCTAAAGCAGGTGGTCAAAAATTGGGTTTAGCTACATGCATCAGATCTGTCATGCCAAGTTTCTATAGCGTGACATGTACTTGTGGTAGAACCGTTCTGAACCTAATGTATCCCACTGGCTAAAATATGCATCTCCAAAGGTCCGCTCATCACCATTGTCACTCATACCATAATTATGGGGTGAGAATTATGCAAAAGCAGACCAAACTTTAGTTTTAAATAGTAATAGAAGCTCCCAAGTTCTTGAAGGTGGACCATATAAAATGCAGGAGAGAAAAATATTTTACGAGCAGTCGATCCACGTCTGGGAGTCAGATCTAGCATAATCCCTCGCTCGGCGCTTTCACCGAGCCTTGGGTTAGGAATAAGAGTATCCTGTCGGCAAGTCTCGGGAAGATATTGCTAAAGGAATGTAGAAGTTTTCTCGTCATCAGCCACCATTTTATGCAAATCAATGTCAGTGCAGCTGAGAATCTATCATAACCTGATGGATGCTGACCTGCAGGTTCCCTCACGCCCTATAAAGTGTTTATGGATCCGATGCCAGGCCTCCATCGCTATTGTGATTTGCGTCTATCAAGACCCATCCAGTCCGCTCGTTTCCCTGGTTGTGATTGCTGGACTAGGCGTTTGAGAAAT